TTAGATCCGCACGGTTCCTATGGTAGAACGCTCCCCGACCTCACGTTGCGTCAGCTCCTGTGCTTTTTGCTCAGCGTTTCTTCCGCCCCAGAAAATAAACCTCCAAAGCAATTACAAACAAAAAAAATGTCAAGGTGCAGGCGAGCTGGTGTATGTTGATCATGATGCAAAATCCCGAGACTAGGAATGAAATTCGCAAGAAATAGTGTAAGAAGAAAGAGAAAAGGGGACAGGACAACGTCTCAAACTCAGCTGAGTTGAGTTTGAGACGTTGTCCTGTCCCCTTTTTTCTGTCTTCTTACACTTTTTCTTTCATTCCCAGTCTCAGGATTTTGCATCATGTACAAACTAAACTTACTATATGCCAGCGTCACTCGGGCGGCGTTCGATCGGATTACTACCAGCGTGCAAGGGGTAGGGGGGCAGTTTGCCAGATCACTTCGAGGTTTTTCTGAACCTCGACCACCTGCCTGCCCCTGGCCGTTTCGAACTGGATGAGTATCGTTAAACAGTGCGTTCGTGGGATCACTACTTCGTAATGCAAGTTAATGACCACCCCGGGCTGGCGGTCACCATTACTGATGTATTGTTACACGTCACTGCACTGGCAAATATTCCAGCACATCCGGGGCACTCGTCGTCTCATTTAATTACCTGACCAACTTCGTGCAGTCTAAATATCACATCCAAACTTTTCTAAACCTGATTTCGTGAATACCAGTGAGGCGTGAAAACGTTATTTGAAACTGAAACTGGTGGCGGAACATGAAAACCGGACTTCGAACTTTGCGCACTTGGACTTCAAAGAAATCGGAAACCTTCAAAGTTTTTTTTTTTTTTTTTTTAAATTTAGTTTTAAAAGAGAATCGAAACCTTCGACCTTTTCGAACTTTATGTAGAAAGAAATTCGAAATCTTTAAATTTATCGAACTTTATGTCTTTAAAAATTCGAAACGTTCGATTTTATATCCAAAGAAATTCGAAACATTCAAATCTCTCGAATTTCAAACTATGGAAGTTCAAAATCTTCGAATTTATCGAACCTCAAGTAAACAAATATTCGAAATAATCGAACCCAAAGTTTTAGAAACCGTGAAAGCTTCGAACTTTTCGAATTCGAACCCCGAGATTTTGGAAAGTTGCAAATTTTTCGAATTCGAACCTCCCTACGGTCGAAAATATCGAAACTTTTCGAAATCGAACATCAGTTCGGTCGAAAATATCGAAACCTTTCGAATTCGAACCTAGGGTGGTTCGCGGCATCCTTAGTCGAAAGCCACTGGTGCTTTACAAACGAGAGCTTGGTCTTCGAGAAACGGGAATACCCAGTGATGCGCTTGGTCAACATCTAGATAGAAAGCCGTAATAATTTACTTCATTCTAGACTTGCTGCTTTTCATTCCAGACGCCGCTGAAGTTCAGAGTTTATAAGACCAATCAAGCAGCATTAAAAGCACAAGTCACTGGTTTATTTCTGATTACGATTGTTTGAGCGATGATAGAACATGTACAGAAACATGACGAAAACCATGATGGTGCACTTTTGATGCTCTCTGATTGGTCCCATCAGTTTGTAATACATCTCACTCAGTGAAAGTGCACTAGCCTTAAAGGAGTCGTGAAACAATTTTTCAACTTTTTCCAGTTTGGAAAAAGTTGTTGGAAAAAGTTGTTTTATTATTTTTCCAGTTTGGAAAAAGTTTCCCACACCACTAGGGGAGGATTTGGTGCTTTATGCGTGCACGCGCTCTCGTTCAAATGAGTGGAGTGGAATGTATTCTCTAGTAAAGTGTTTGGCCCTCGTATTGTGTATTCGTGGTGCTGGATTTTCTATGGGATACAGATTGAACGCAAGTGCTGTGTCTGCGCTTTGTTGGGATTCGTGCTGTTGCTGATTAAACATGAGTTTCAGCCGAATGCGGACGTATCACTGCTGTCCAATATGTGCCCGCGCTGGCTCGCAGTAGGCGGGGAAAAGAGACTAAAGAGGACATTTAAGACTGCTTACGTGTAGGAATGCAAAAGAATTCCTACACGTAGTGCATTCCTACAAGCAGCGCACCACGTCTTCCTTTTTCACACACAGCTCTGGCAATGACATCATGCTCTCCCACTGCGCAGGCGTGGCGAACCCTGCCGGCTCCACGGCTTCTGTGACTATGCATCTTTTCTTTGTGTTATATTTCTGAGGTGCATTCGCTTTGACCTTGAGGGGCCCTGCTGTCTTCCGTGACGATGCATCTCCGTTGCTCTGCTTTTCTTTGTGTTTTATTATTTCTAAGGCGCTTCCGCTTTGACATCGAGTGATATCGCCGGCTTCCTCGACGAGGCATTTGCGTTGCTGTGCTTTTGGCCTCTGGGAATTTAACTGCCGTTTAGCTGGCCAATGAGGATTCAACTGCCATTTCGCTGCTACAGATGGTTACAGACAATGCCGGCTTCGCTCCATGGGTCAGTAAATTATTTCGCATTAATATTTAACACCACGGCCTTTTATCTAGCTGGGTGTTGTCTTGTCCCTAGTCCAATTGCGCACAGATTACCCACAAAGAATTTGTGTGGGGTCCTACAGGTCTCTATGGGTTACCTGTAGGTTTGTGTGGGTACCCCCAGAATCTCTGTGGGGAGAGGAACGCGGGTCTATTGGACTTGTGCGGGTTGCTTTAGGTAGCCCACACAACCTATGGGGATAGGACCATGACCGCGGGGTTGCATTGCTGTTCCATGGGCTCCAAACTATGCCAAAGTATTTACTGTGCTACATTTCACCAAAATTTTTGTAATTTGCACCAAGATAGTGCCGAAAGTTAATTTCACTTCCTCGGTGCTGAAACTAATAATTTCCCTCTCGTATGGGAGGGTCCGCAGGACATCGGCTCCTGCTTTAATTCCTACTTATTCAGTGCTAAATCATCAATATTGTTCTAAAACTGGTACCCAAGTGCGGGCGAAGGTGTGGGTTATCGGCGGACACCCAAATTTTCCTAAGTGGTGCGTGACATTTCCAAGGTACGTGGACTTTGTTCTCGGGGCGGCGGGAATCCGCGCTAAGCCTAACTTAGGCCGTTGGCGGCGACCCGCCGGCCGCTAGGCCTAACCCGGCGGTGATCATGTTCGAAATGATGGACGAGACAACGACGGCCACGTCAACAGGAGAGGCTGTAGCTCCATCGCTACGAGTCGGCAACGTCGACGGGCGCACGTTCATTGAGGTTCCCGGGGAGCGTATCGAACCGGAAGAGGTCGAGGGATGGAAGGTCTCGGCAAGCGAATCAAGGAGATCACGAACGGCACGGAAAGCGGTGAGTTCGCTGCAACCAACCGGTCGTCCAGGCCCAGAACTAGGGCCAAATACGCCAAGAAAGTTGCATCGGCAATCACGAAAGGGGCACGGATGCCAGTAAGCATGCCGAAGGAGGATATCAAGATAGTGGTCAGGCCACGTGGCGGCCTCAATATAGCGAAGTTGGGAGGCCCGGCTGCCATGGCGGCGGTCACAAGGGCGGCGAAGGTCACAAGGGAGGAGGCTGGCGAGGCCACCGTCGGTATAAATACGCAGCAGAACATTATAGTGATTAGCACCCCAGACGAGCGGCGAGCTACGAGATACGCTAAAATGACATCCATTAGCGAGGGAGGCAAGACTTATGATGTCAGCGCCTATAGAACGGCACCTGACGGAACAGTCAAGGGAGTCATTCGAGGCATAAACATAGAAAAGACGGCGGAGGATATCACGGAAAACATAGTGAATACGAACAACCCCACGGCAGTGGAGGAGAATCGGAGAGACGACCGCGGTCGTAGTGCTCTTCGCGGGGCAGAAGGTGCCGCATTACATCAAGTTAGGCATAGTTTTGATCAAGTGTGGATTATATCGCAAGCATTTCGATGTTTGCAAGACGTGCGGTAAACTGGGACATAGACGAGACGTGTGCCCGAATCCCGGAAACAAGTCCTGCTTCGGCTGCGGCATGGCGAACCCGGAGGAAGGGCACGAGCTGAAATGTCAACCGCAATGCAAGCTATGCGGGGGCCCACATCCAACAGGGTAGAGGGGCTGTAAAAACAAATACAAGATGCCATACATAGTTAAGCGACGCCAATGGGAGCGCAAAGTGGAGGCCGCGGAGCAGCAAGTGGTAGCCGCAGACTTTCCACCGTTTAGGTCGCGCTCCATCGAGAATCCGCGCAGCGTATCAAGACGACGAGCCGACAGTCGGAGAAGGGAAGTCAGTAAGGAAGGCAGAAGCAACAGTCACCGCCGCGACGTAGCGCGGCCGAGGGAGGGAACTTCCTGGGCAGACGCTGTCAAGACAACTAGGTCCGAGAGCAAGCAACCCAGTGTGAATAGTTATTACGAGAAGAAGAGGCAGGAGGACCTGGCAGTGATGAAATCCCTCAAGGACGAAAACGACAAGCTCAAGCGCAGAATCTCGGAGCAGGGTGATATAATCAGGGAAATCAATGCGAAGCTGGCAATCTTGATTATGGAGCGACAGCAACAGGCACCACAACCAGTACCAGAAAAGGCGACAAGGACCATAGTCGAGGACGAATCAGAGACCGAAGTGGACCCCAGAGCCGATAGGCCAACGGAACCAGCCCCCAAGAGGAGGGCCATAGAAAGCATCAGGGATCGAAAGATCATGGATAAGCTCAAGAGACACGATGAAAGATTGGACAGAATGGAGGAAATCTGCAAGGACACTAGCGAGCGCCTCACATCGCTCGAGAAGAACATGCAGAGTATGTTGGCGCAACTACAGGCACAGTTACAAGCACAAATACAAGCGCAGATACAGAGCATGGAAATCGGCATCATTACCAAACTCCAACAATCATGGACGGGACAAGGCGTGCAGCAACAACCACCCCGCCAGTAAAAGGCCTCCTAGTCTGGCACTGGAACTGTAGCGGTTTTGCACACAAGAAAGCGGCACTACAACAGCACTTGCAGAGAGTAGATAGGAAACCAGATGTGATCATGGTACAGGAATCTAATGCCACGGAGACACCCAAGCTCGCGGGATACCGATCGCACAACAGGCCTCCGGATACCTGCGAAACGCCCAAGGGGAAGGGTAGGGGAGTCTGTATCTTCGTACGAAAGGGTATCACATTCCTAGAGCACGAAATACTAGAAAAGAGCACCATAGAACACTGCACGGTGGAGGTTATCACGGGAAGGAAGAGAAAAGAGAGCACCTTCTTAGTTAATGTGTACAGCAAGCCAGCTCACACGCAACAGAAATTCAAAGCACTGTTTCATAAAGCATGTAGGGTAGCGGGAGGAAACATGCTGATGGTATGCGGCGACTTTAACGCAGCGAACCAAGTGTGGGGGTACCGCAAGACAACGGCCAAGGGAAGAAACTTATTGCAGGACGCGCTGGACGCAGGGTTGAGTCTCGTCACAGATCCCGAACAACCCACTCGAACGGGAACATCGGTTTCTCGGGACACCACCCCGGACCTCACCTTCGTCAAAGTGGCGGGGAGGAAGAGAGAGGTCACTTGGAACAACACGGGCTATGACCTAGGACAGTGGTCGGCAACCTTTTGGCGCAGCGGGCCGAGTCGCCGCGAAGCCAAAGCGGAACGGGCCGGACGGCAAGCAGCAGGCCCGGGGGGGGGGGGGGGGGGGGGGGGGGGGGTTAAAGTAAAAAATGAAAAATAAAAAAGCACTTGCGCGAACTTACATTGACGTACATAAATCTAAAATGAACAGTATTTTTATTTCACGACACACGACATGAGATGCAACATTTCCACAAAAACCTAGAGACTGAATTCAGTGAGACTTCTGGTGTTGAACTGCGCTCGCCAAACTACGGACATCCACATTCAAGCTACTAACTGCGAGTCGCAAAACATTGTGGAGGTTCTCGTCAGTCATTCGTGAGCGCAAGTTGGATTTTATGCACTTCATTCGTGAAAAAGTCTGCTCGCAGACATATGTGCTCCCGAACACTGTAATCATGGTGGCTGCGAGTCTCTTAAGATTCATGAACGTAGAATCCGCAAGGCCAGCATAAAATGTAACAAGGTCGTTTGCTTCAAATGCGCTCTTCAAATCATTATATGTTTGCAGATCGGCCAGCTCTATCTGGTAACACTCTCGCACCTGGCTAAGATCCGCATTAAATGGATTTTGAAATAAACAAATGTCGCTTGAATGCTTCGTGAAGTCCGCAAACTTAACTTCAAACTCACTTCTCAATTCGCGCAAGATTTCGCAGAGTCTTTCCGTGGGAAGTGGCGTTGCTGTCTCGCCTGCAAAAATCTTGCAGCAAGGAAAATGATAAAAATTAGACTCTCTAGCTTGGTTTTGGAAGAGACTGAGCTTCATCTCGAAAGCTCTCACGTCTGCGAGCATCCCGGACATGAGTTTCCCCTTCCCTTGTAATTTTACATTCAGGTCATCCAGGTGCTGAGAAACGTCAGCCAGGAGTGCCAACTCCCACACCCAATCATGATCAGCAAGCTCTTTGAGAGGTTTCCCTTTCCCAAGAAGAAACACTGCGATCTCCTCACGAAGCTAAAAAAAAACGTCGCAAAACTCTTCCTCTGCTGAGCCATCGCACTTCTGTGTGGTACAGGACATCCCCATACTCAGCCTCTGTTTCCGACAAGAACTGTTGAAATTGACGATGGTTCAGTCCGTGACTGCGAATAAAATTGATAGTAGATACGACTACCTTCATCACGGAGTCCAAGCGCATCACTTTGGAACACAGTGATTGCTGGTGGATAATACAATGAAGATGAATAGGAGCAACAACGCACAGGCGTGCCATTTCTGAGTTGATGCGTCCGATGACACCTGCTTTACAGCCAATCATATTTCTTGCGCCATCAGTCGTTACGCTTTTGAGCTTTTCCCATTTTAGCTGCAGCATTTTCAGACACTCGCATAGCTTGTTAAAAATATCTTCTCCTGTTGTTGTGCCCTTCAGGCTTTTTAGAGCAGCTAGCTCCTCCGTCACTTCGAAACTGGTGTCGATTCCCCGCACAAAGATAAGCAACTGAGCAGTATCAGAGACGTCATTGCTTTCGTCAAGCGCCAAAGAGAAGCACAGGAAAGCTCGGGCTCTATCCTTCAAAGTACTCAACGACTGTTCACCCATGTCTTCGATTCTCCTTGTGACAGTCCGGGCCGACAGACTAAGCTCCTTGAATACATTCTTCTTATCCGGGCAAAGATCGTCAGCCACTGTCAACAAACACCTTTTAACAAACTCCCCGTCCGTAAAAGGCCGCCCACTTTCTGCGACCAACTTGGAGATTGAGTAGCTGGCCTGAACCAAAGCCATCTTCTCCTGGACGTTCTTCTTGAAGACGTCTTGCTGCATGCCCAGGCTCTTCAAACTTTCGATCTTCGCGGCTCTGGCTCCGGACATCAGAGAGTCGTACTTGTCGCGATGGTGGGACTGGTAGTGTCGACGCAGGTTGTATTCTTTAAATACTGAAAGCGCTTCTTTACAGTCGAGGCATAACGCCTTATCCTTATGTTGAACAAATAAATAACCATTTGTCCATTGATCATTGAATGCCCGGCATTCCAAATCGATTTTTCGCTTCTTGCCGCATTTAGACAGAGACATGTTGCAGACGAACAGACTGAAGAAAAAAAAGAAAGAGGATAACCTGTTATAAAGGCGAATTCTAGAAAACACATTTATGTGAGTAACAGGTAATGTTGAAACTTACTTTTCAAGTTGTCGATAGGGCCCTTGAGACGACCGGACTGCCCGAACAGACGCAAAGGAGTAACTGTTCTATTGAGTCCAAGCAAAGTGCGCACCATTTTGCCCTCAGTGGCTTTGTTCTGGTAGGTCGTGTAGCAAGTATCCAATCAGAACGAGTTTCGCAAGTGACGGTCACAAAGACAGGGACCCCGGAACCGGGGGGGCAACGGGGGCTTGAGCACCCGCTGACATTTCCCTGGGGGTGCTGGGCAATATGCAGAGCCCCCGTGCGTGCGTACTGAACAATGCCTGCACCCCCCCCCCCCCCCCCCCCCCCTTTTCCCCCCTGTGTTCCCGCTGTAGCTCAGCTCCGCCAAGTCACATACTTGGCTAAGGACAAGCACGTGGCTGTTTTTGTCACGGCTGGTTACCCACCGAATCGCGGCACAACCTTCGTCCGTGAAATTCCAGAAAAAAATTACAAAGTAAAGCAAAGCGTCAGGAAACCGCGGACGACGCGGCAACTCCGAGGACACAGAGAGAAAAAGTAAAAGCCGGCGCCTGCGGCCTGCATATACTATCATGGAGATCTCCCCTTTTCCCCTGTGTAGGGATGGCGCGAAAGATCCCCTTTGAGAGGTAAGAGCTTTTCGACCCCGCCAGGCCTGGTGCTTTCCTACTAGGGGCTCCCCGATGTCTCATCCAGCTTCGACGACTTTTCGGTAGGCGGCATCGGTCTTTGTGCTTTGTGTCGCCCCGCTAACCGCAGAGCACCCTGTAGCACAGAGCAGGTCGCCGTCCCCCGAGCGGGGGTGAGAAGAGCCCTTGCCAACAAGGTCACTGGGTCGGGAGATTGGGGAATGCCCTCGGGGCATTGTTTACATCCGGCGGAAAGGGAAAAGATGAGCCTCCACGGCCTCTCTGAGATCGGTGGGGGAAGGGGAGGAAAGAAGATCAACTTTTTTTTTTTTTTTTAGCTGACCGCGTTTGGAGGGGGGGGGGGGGAGGTGCAGGGGGGCTGAGGGCCGCACGATACTGCCTCGCGGGCCGGATCCGGCCCGCGGGCCGCTGGTTGCCGACCACTGACCTAGGAAGTGATCACTACATACTAGAAGTCCTCATCCCGCTGGAGGGAAAAGGTGGTAACACTGAGAAGAGAAAGCACCGCGTCACGGATTGGGACGCCTTCAGGACGGCACTCACTAGCTGGCAATCAGAAATCACGGATATCGATCAATGGACGGATAACGTTAATAAGACGATGGAGGGAGCCACGAAGGAGATAGAAACGGACGAGAGTATAGACAGAGTGGACAGCAGACTAGCTCACCTACTGGAAGCTAAGCAGTCAATCAAAGCAAGATGGAAGGGTCAGCGCACAAACAGAAAACTACGGAAGAAGATCGCGGAACTCAATCAGTGTATAGAAGGCCATTGCAGGTTACTCTGCGAGCAGCAGTGGATCGAGGTATGCAACGGGGCGGACGGTCAAATGAACAAGAGCAGGACCTGGAGCATGCTTAGACATCTCCTCGACGAGACCAAGACTAAGGGGTGTCAGCACGACAACCTTGCGAGGATCCTACACAAGGCCATTAGCAAGGAAGGGGAAGTCGAGATCAAGAGGCGTTTGGACGAGAAGTATCTACCGTCCACTCCTACAACGGAACAGCTGGAGTACCAGGGTACCGACAACGCGACCTTGGACAAGGACATTGCAACGTGGGAAGTCAGAGCAGCCATGCAAAAACTCAACAGCAGATCGGCAGCCGGTCCTGACCGAGTTACTAACAAGGCGATCAAGAACCTCAGCGAGGCGGCTATCGAGAATATCATGAAGTACTACAACAAGTGTTGGCGAGAAGGGAAACTACCAAAGCAGTGGAAGACGGCCAAAACGATCCTCATCCCCAAGCCGGGCAAGCAACCCAGTGTAGAGAACCTCAGGCCAATCTCACTTACGTCGTGCGTCGGGAAACTTCTCGAGCACGTACTGCTGGACAGATGGCAACGATATCTGGAGGAGTCGGGCCTCTACCCGGACTCCATCATCGGGTTCCGGAATAAGCTGGGGACACAAGACGCAATGATTCTCCTGAAGAATGAAATCATAGACGTACCACTTAGCATAGGTGACAACAGGGCCATCCTGGGGCTGGATCTACAAAGCGCCTTCGATAAGGTGAGCCACTCCGCCATCCTTGCCCAGGTCTCAAAACTTAACATGGGTAGGCGATCCTACGATTATATCAGGGACTTTCTAACTGGACGAACCACTAGAATCTGTGCGGGGGACTTACAACTAGACGAGAAAGATTTAGGCAGCGTCGGAACTCCACAGGGGTCGGTGATCTCCCCACTGCTCTTCAATCTTGTCATGATAGGGGTGGCTAACCGATTACAGGAAGTTAGGGACGTCAGACACACCATTTATGCTGACGATATCACATTATGGGTCAAAGGAGGCAGCGATGGTCACATAAAAAACCAATTGCAGGAAGCGGTCGAGGCCATAGAGGAACACCTAGAAGGGTCCGGGCTCGTTTGCTCCCCCACAAAATCAGAACTGCTAGTGTTACCACCTAAAAGGGCAGGCAGGAGAAGAAAGGACGCGCCGATCACGGTGGAGAGACCTAAGATCGCGGTCAAGACGGCGGGCGGGCGGATAATCCCGGAGGTAGACAAGATAAGGGTGCTCGGTTTGCTACTCGAGCGGAACAGAGTAAATGGAGAAACAATCACTAAGCTTAACACCAAGGTCATGTCTGCTACGAAGCTCTTACGGAGGATCTCCAATAGGAAAGATGGCATGAAGGAAGAAAGTTTAATCACGTTAGTGCAGTCCTTTGCGGTCAGCCACATTGCGTACGTGGCTGCCTTCCACAAATGGACTACAGGGGAACGAAACAAAATAGACGCCCTCATCCGCAAGGTATACAAGATTGCACTGGGACTCCCAGGCAACGTGAGCACACAGAAGCTCATGGAGCTGGGGGTAAACTGGAGGAGATTGCAGAAGCTCAACGGTCGGCGCACCTGGAGCGCCTCTCCGGCACGAAGACGGGAAGGAAGATCCTACAGGACCTTGGCATAAATCCTAATGGCAGCGGCTCGGCGGCTTCCGAACCCGTCCCGAGCAGCTTAACGACCGGAATCAGAGTATGTCCAATACCGCGGAACATGAACCCCACGCACAACGCGGAAAGAAGAGCAGCGAGGGCGGGTGCTCTCGTGGATAGGCACGCGGAAGACGAGGGAGCCGTCTACGTAGATGCGGCTGAATATCAAGACCGCGTCGAGGCGTACACAGCAGTAGTGGTGAGCGCCGCGACAGGAGCAGTCAAAACGGCGGCCAGCACCCGCACCAGGGACACGCATCAAGCAGAGGAGGTGGCCATTGCCTTGGCCATCGCCGACCCCGGCTGCAAGACGGTGCTAAGTGACTCAAGGACGGCGGTGTTGAGTTACGCTAAGGGCAGAGTATGCAGTGCGGCAGCCCGCATTTTGCGGGCAGCCGAACAAGCAGGGCGACAAGGGGCGGTGGTGATCAAGTGGTTCCCGGCCCACATGGGCAGTGATGTGTCGGGGCGGGGCAACACCAACCACAACGAGACGACCAACGCCGTGGCGCGAGGACTCACCAACCGCGCGACGGCAAACGTGGCCCCCTCGGAGGGCGGTGCGTGGTATAATTCCAAGGACCGGATGACTACGTACAACGAGATTGCGAAGTGGTATAGGTTAAATAGAAGAACTATGCCTCCCCCTCACTCTGGACTCAAGCGGGGGGAGGCTGTGATCTTTAGGCAACTACAAACAGGGTCCTTACTAACACCAGTGTTAGTTAAGTACATATACCCGGGACTTTACGCGGACGATACGTGTAGACTGTGCATGAAGGCTAGGGCCACCGCAGTGCACGTACTCTGGGACTGTGAGAAGAACCCGAGAGAGGCAACCGAGAAGACAACGATTCCCCCTCAGTTCGAGGCTGCGGCGAGGAGCTGTGACTTAGAGACTCAACGTAGGGCCGACCAGCAGATCTCGGCTGCCCTGGAGAGGCAACGGGCAGACGATAGTAGGGGGGTAAGGGAACGCCCGGAAAACCGGGCGGCTCTCCCTCCCGATCCCGGTTAGCTAAGGGGAATGCTCGGGGCCGGGGAGTAGAAGGCGCGAGATAGACGTGGGGGCCGCGTCGCGTTGTGGTCACCACCCCCTGCGCGGGGCGAGGTACCACCGACTGCTGGCATTCAAATAAAGTTTTTCCTCCTCCTCCTCCTCCTCTCGTATGGGTAGGCCTATGCAGATGCTCTAAGCTCTCGATTATCGCTTCGAATAGCCATCTACCTACTTAATTTGAGCTCGGGATCTACCAAGAGTACTCGGAGTCTGAAGTTACGCCACATTTCTTACTGCTTGCGGTCTCTTCGGGCCGTGTACTGCTGTATTAACATCGCTGCCAAAGTTGGACCAGTGTGTTGCACTGTTCTGCCATGGCGGTTGGGGACGCCTTGGGAGGGGCGCTGTTTGGGCATTTTGCGCTCTTTGCCGTACTTAGGCTGGCTCTCACACTTCCGACCGCTACGCCTGAGTGCCCTCTTCGGGATTTCTTACGACGAGAGTAGAGCAAGCAGACCATGTGTACAGCTACCCGAGACCATAGACCACACTGGCGCCTTCTATTGGACAGCTGGGGAACACTTGGCATTTCCATTTTTTCCCCCGCATTGTTTTTTTTTTATTGAAAAAACTTGGAACTGTTCTAAATGACCATTTCGCATAGATTTGATTGGATCTCGCAAATACTGTAAAAAACAACAAAAAAACCTTCCTTTTAGTGAAATCCAGTTGCAGGGTCATGTCAGATGGTGCTAGCGTGCCAATGTCTTCTCGTCGTGGGAGATCGCAAGAACTCT